TGTGCATGTCTGTTTTAATTCATAAAATCCAGCCATCCATATATACCTAATAATTCACTTTTTTTAGTCTACATCTGTAAATTTTGTAATTACTGTACATAGCTCAGACTCTTGCACTTTCTGCTTATTTGCACTTCTGGTGAGATGCCAAACCTCATTTCGTTACTCTATACTTGTATATGTGTAATGACAATAAAGTTGAATCTCATCTCATCTCAAAAGTGAGATTTAAACCAGACCAGAGCCAAAATCAATCCAATTAGTTGTCTGCCCATTTTGAAATTGGAAAGTGTCTTTGGAGCAGCCACAGCCAAGCAGGAGTTGAGAGTCTCAAGTTCCAACCAATTAGAGAGCATTTCCCTCGTGCATCACACATTATGGTCCGCTTGTTATTGTACACGTGTGAACACAGGGTTATGATTTTTTTCAGGACATAGAGTTGGGATAATTAGATCCTAGATTTTAAATAAAGGTTATGTTAAAAATCTGTACTTGTGGACATGAAAGTGTGCTTCAAGTGAGAGCAAAAGATACAACACACTTTTGTACGTATTCTCTCAAAAGTCTCTGTGCCGGGGCTAAAATAACCTTGATGACATCATCAGACTGGCGCGGTCATCGGAAAATAATCAACCAGTTTAAGGCCATCCAATGAGTCCTGTTTCAACCTGCAGAAAAGACCGAACACCAGCTCAGCTACCCAGAGAGAAACCTGCATGAGGTGGGAGGCGGTGTGTGTGTGTGTGTGTGTGTGTGTGTGTGTGTGTGTGTGTGTGTGTGTGTGTGAGCTGTGTGGGCAGTGTGATGTGGGAATGTTGCTCTCAGGGACTCGCTGCTGTAACGCAGAGGGAGCTCTGCTCTCGTCTCATCGTGCGTTATGTAACAGCCCGGGGGCCGTCGGTTTAGAGCGCTCGCTGCTCGCCCAGCTTCACAGAATCACAGCCTCATCAGACAGCTCCGTCTAGTCCCTGAGTGTCACAGAGGATAAGGACGAAAGGCACTGAAACTTCTGCAGCTCTTCCAGAAGCAGAGTTAAGAGGAAAAGGCTTCAGGCAGCGATGTCGCCGTCGTGCAGCGAACATGCAGAGAGAATCTGCTGCCTTCTCATTAGAGCACAGACCCCTGCAGAGACTCCAGCAGAGGGTTCTGCTGCAGTCAGTTTATCACAGTCTTATTGGCTGGACACACACTAGCTCATAATAACTCTGTCCAACCAAATGTAGACTGCTCCTGCAGCGTGATGTGTTGGATTAGATGTGGCCATTTCTTTACACTACGGCGAGGCAATAAAACTATTTGAAAACAGGATCATTACTCAAACTGTGTTAATATCATCAATCAACTTTGGACTTTTTTACGATATGCTGAAGTGGTTAAGTGACGAGTCAAACGCTCTTTAAGAGTGAGTGGATACAGACGATATCATGAAAGGAGAAAACAAATCGCAGAATCAAGCTCTGCAGGTTTGTAAAAGCATTTCTTATCGATGGCACCTTCCAGAACATTTCAACCTCTGTGTGTGTTTTTAATGACTCAAGCCAGGATTGTGTTGTAATTCAAAGTTTTCTGTTTCCAGGGCAACGGTTGCCCACCAGGTGTAATAAGACCCACACAGTCCACTGTGATCACCTCGTGTGTTGTTTTTGGCACACGGAAGGAGAAGGAGGGGGGGGCACTTCATCCATCTTCATCCAGTGAGATCACATTTCATTATCATAAAGAACATCTTCATAACCTCGACAGTGAGTGAAGGGAGCAGCAGCACATTGATATGTCTGATAGTTGTGGAAGTTATGAGGAAGAAGTCATGCCCACACACTTGCTCAAATGCCACAAAAAGTTTTAATTTGTCACAAAAGGACGTTGAAATTAATTCAAACTTTTTGTGGAATCTGAGCCTCTCTTCTTCCTCACTCTGCTGTTTTCACGCGTGTGTCGATTCCCTGCAGAGAGGGTCGGATTTGATCTCCCGTTTCTCTACTCATGACATGTGAACGGGTTTAAAAAAATGTTTTAGACTCATCTGTTCTGATTATTTCAAGGCAAAGAGTCCAAAGTAACGTGGAGATAGCATTTTCAATATGTCGACTGCCATCGTTGGGCTTCATGATAATGCCTCTTCAGGGACCAATGGGTGACATCACAGAGACTACATCCATGTTTTATACAGTCTGTGTTTTAAACTTGACGGATTCTGCAACCTGCAACTTCAGAGGCATGGTAGAAAGAGTGATGTATTTTTATCGTTTTAATCAGAATGGGGTGGTTGCATGGGTCCTGCAGGCCTTGTTATTAACACTTCATCATACCATCTTGTTGTTAGAACCATCCTCCTTCTGCCAACACATAAAACACAGCGGTGGTTTGAGTGTACGAGCAGAGGAGAGCTTGTTGCCTGTTGCAGTGTTTGGGTTGATCCCTGTTCGAGCTGAACAAAGCTTTCATTCTCACCACGGCTCATTAAGTCAATTACTTCCACTTTAAAGAGCAATTGTTTAGTCTGCTCCTCTAATCTTTCCAAAGCCGCGTTTGGCAGACTGGCAACACTTAAACTGTAATACATGATTCACAGGTTCACTCCAGTTCAAAACTAAAAGTCAAGACAATCTCAGACTCCTGAAATATATCTGATATGTTGATCTGTATCCCTGCAGTCTGCGCTGTGTGCAAAAATGTGTTTGCACATAAAAGGCCTTCAATGTTACTGAAAGGAGCAATATGTAAAACCCTAGTGTTTAACACGGGTACTGCGGTCCAAATTCAAAACATTGAAGACTCCTGTTTTATCTCGCCCCCTCCTCTCTAGAGTCGATGCTCACGCAGGTTGCCATGACACTGAAGCTTCAGTGTTTATCCAGCTCTGCATCGGTCTGTAAACCTTTCTGTGTTCTAACCTCTCTCCATTTTTCAAAAGCATCTCCTATATTGATCCTAGTTTGAGCACGTTTCTGCTCGTGGAGCTTATTAGAAACATGCAGAGGCTTTTTAGGTCGGGTACAATCACTTCTATCTGAACCACTTCTCTTGACCGCTTCCATCACTGCAACACCTGTTGACCTGATAACTGCTCTCATATCTGGCAAACCGAGGGGCGTCCAAAACGGCCGTGTGGGGGTGTCTTAAAACCACCTACCTTCTCTGGTCCAAACAAATCCAGAGCATTCAGGAGCAGAATCTAAAGTTAGAAGGAGGACATACTGGCTGCTGCATTGTTGTCAGAGAAGTCAGCACTTCAACATATCATGTTTCCTTAATGTCTGATCATATAGTGAGGTCACTTTATCATTTAAATCAGTAGATATCTTACATATTGCTCCTTTAACCTTCCATGCAAAAAGAGATCACTTCATCATCCCACTAATGCAACGTGCACGAGACGTGGTGGCAGTTTTACAGAAAAGCCAGTAGGTGAATATAAGCTTTAATAACAGGAAAGAAAAAAGTAGGGGGATTATATCAGAAACCTGTGAACAGTGAACATGGGGATCATCCTGGTTCTCTGTCAGTTTGCTCTCACAGTCTTACAGGAATAAATCCACTGAAGAGGCAGAGAACAATTTGTACACCCACAGCAGCAGAGAATAGAGCAGCAGAGTGATGCAGCTTTGTAGCAATGTGGGCTGTTAGTGAGGAGACAGTCAGGGAGCATCAACAGCTCGCACAGATTCAACGATTGGGAAATCAGGGCCCATATCAGGGACAATGTTTGAAATACAAAATGAGCAGATTGCTGATTCCAATGTTTGCATCATGACTTTTTTTGGGGTGTAAGACTCCCACAATGCCTCCGTCTTCTCTCATGTTTGACAATGAAAACAAGTCAGAGTTTGTTCAACAGGTGACTCCATCTGCCCAATAAAAAAACCTCTTCACTGAATCAGTACTTATGTGTCCTAGATGTCAACATTAAATTGATGTTGCACAACAAATAAACATCGGTTACTGATTATTTGCCAATGTGGCAATTTCTGTCAACAGGCCCGATATCGTCTGAAAGTTGAAGCGATGCATCCCTGAGAACTCGCTGTCACTCTCCTAATTCTCAAACATCCATCTGTTAGATAAATCAACAACATCTCCTCTCCTCTGCAGGTACTTTAGAGGAGTTCTAGAGGAATTTAAGGTTTATAATTTACGGCATTAGGAGGCAAAAGTGATTTGGTAACATTGCTGACGACCAACGCAGAGTTACAGAGTCATAGTTTATTTTCAAAAGATGTGTTTCAATTTGCTTTGAATAGAAAGAAAGGCTTGAACTCAACCTGCACATCACAGCGTGAAGAGGACTTGAATGACCTGCAGGATGTTACTGATCTGATGCATGATGGACAATCAGCTGTCCAAGTTTCTCATTCTGTCCCACAAGCGACCATAAAGGAAGGACACAGCCCGAGGAAATGAACGTCTTGATCATTTTCATGAGTATAAATGTTGCAATTTCTCATCTACACCATTATTCTCTCTTTTTTTTTTAAAGTGTGTTTTATGAATGTCTGTTACTTTTCATCTTCCTGCAAGTATCTCTTTTCACTTCTACTTTCAGACTCCACTAATAAATGAAGTTGTTTATATCAGCTGCACATCGTTTGTCAACACAAAGTAACCTTCAGGTCTTTTTTAACAGCACTGGGGGTCACAGAGCCTCCAAAGGAACAGACTCTGTTTACACTTTGTTTTTACGCATGAAGCTGCACACTGGCTCCAAAGCCTCCATACAACAGTAGTTTGAGTTTAAATAGTTAAACTCCAGAGTGTAGCCTGAAGAGAGCAGTGGAGTAAACCCAGATCTATTTGAGAGCTCGGTGTGGAAAGTTTCGGACTCGTGGCTGCAGAGAAACCTGGTCCAAAGTTCTGAAATCAGAAAGTGAACGCAGCTGAAAGTCGCTCTCTGCACTCACTCAGTCCTGCGTGGAGGTTGTGCATGCGTGGCCAGGCCACTCACCGCACCACACTGTTATCAAACAGCGGGGAAAACAAGAGGAGAACCGGGATGCTCTTACCTTGCAGGTTTTGCACCCGCATGTCGCTGATCTGTCCGATAAATTCCTCCCTTTCGAACCAGTCCTCCCACTCGTGTCCGGCCATCTCTGAGCCGCGGAGAGTGCAGGAGTCCCGGGCAGGATCAGTCAGAGAGCTCCCCCCCCCCGGCTGGAGGAGGAGGAGAAGCGGCTCTGCTGCAGCGGGCAGGCGGGCACTCTATTGTCCGACCCGCCGACGGAGAGCCATGCAAGCCGGGAACACGGAGACAAGTAACGGGACGGGTTCACTCACCGACCGGTCATCTCTCTGCTGTTCACCAGGCTGTAACACCGGGACTTTGAGCCCGGACAGCGGAGGGGAAGATGGAGCTCCGAGAGGACAGCCCGGAGAGATAAACGTAGAGCGGGGAGGAAGGAGCTGCAGCACCTGGTGGGTATTTCCGAGAGGTGGGATGGAGCTGATCCAGAGCCCGCCCACTTCTCTCTCCCTCACCCCTCCCTCCGCTCGCTCTCTCTCTCTCTCTCACACACACACACACACACACACACACACACACAATCCACAACACCAGCAGATACACAAGAAGTGAAAGAAGCAGAAAGTAGAACTACAATGACATCTTTTCAATTACATTTTTTTATATTCAGTTTTTAGAATCTACGGAGCCCCTTCAGTCCCAAAAAGTAAAGAAAAAAATCTTGTGCGCATTTGTTATAATTTGTGCGCACAACATATTAACTTGTGCACACGTCTAACATCTGCATGCGAACAATATGATATAATATAATAGGTTTACGTAGGCTATAGGCTATATATATGTATATAGATATATATATAGATATATATTTATACATTTTTTCAACTTTTTGGGTCTTCGGGGGCTCTGTGGAAACCTAATATTTCAAAGGTTTTATAACCCTTAGCCACCATGTTATTTAAAACTATTGGTGTCAGATATCTAACTACAGTATTTCATTTTTATAAAACATTTTTAGAGAAATATCCTAAATGTACGGAAGCCCTAAGAGGACATACATCCATACATTTACTCTGATCTTATCCTGTTGTTTACCATTATCCTGATATATATGTGATATATGAACTGAGATCTTGAGAAAATTATCAAAATGTAAAAATTACAGGACAACAGAGAAGCATACAGTAAATGTGTAATGTGTGTCTTCCATACAAATGATAAATTGAATATTATGTTGTGTTTTTTTTTACACTTGGTATCAAACAATCAACTAATTTGATTCTCAGTCTTTTGGGTAAGTAAGTCAAGGTTAGCTTGCTTTCTAACCATGGTAACAGATTGTTTTGCAGTTTAACAAGTGAAATAACACATAAGACAAAAAAATAGAAAAGCAAAGAGATGTTTTATCGTCATAATGAAATAATCCTGACCTGTATTATTTTAAAGTGGGAGATTAACTGCACGTCAAAAACACGATGTAAAAATAAGTAAACATGTTTTAAACAAGTGTGACCTACATGTAAAAGGAAGATTGTTCAAGTGCGTTTTTGCTCATTGAAAATATTGATAGCACACCAGGGTTTGATTTAGAAAAAAGAAAACATGTGATGTTTCGTTCTGAGATAGTTTGGCAAAATGTGTTTCTTTAGTCAGTGCAGAAGAATTCATGTTTCCTTGAACGTAGCCTAAACTCTGTCCATCAGCTGTGATGAGCTGTGCAAACTGGATGCAGCTGAACCTGGCCGTGTTCACGCTGTAAGACTCCACTCCCAGAGTAATTCATAAACAGTGACAGGATGCATGCACTTTGAATCTATACTAGGTTTTATTTCTGCAGAGACGATGGCTTTCAGGAGGTTATGAAACAGTCATTTATTATTTATACCGAGGCGTGAGCTCCATCCACGGAGCCAGATCTTCCTCTACTCGTTCCCATGTGCAGAAAACCTCAGATTCCATTCGTGAGTTCAACGATATATCCAACAAACACAAATACAGTGTGTATACAATATATACTATATAGTTGTAACTCCAGAATCTGTAAGTGTTTATGCATTTAAACAGATAAAAGCCTTTATGGTTGGAGTTTGTTAGTCAAGCAGAGATCTTAAATCATCCTGATTCTGGACCAAGAAATGCACTTAACATGTTGCAGGTTAAAAAAATAAACCTCTGTTTACATGTGGATTGTTCTTTGATTTTTATTGCTCTTTTTTAAAGATACTTTTGTCTTTTATTGGATCGGAGATGCTGAAGAGAGACAGGAAATGTCTGGGGGAGGGAGTGTGGGATGACATGCAAAGGGCAGAGGTCAGATTCAAACCCACGGCCACTTCAATGAGAACTATAGCCTCTGTACATGGGACGTGCAACATAACCACTAAGCTACTGACGCCTGATTTCTTGTAGTCTGATTTGTTGATTTCACCATGGAGGCAGCTCAATGTGTGCAGCACTTTTAAAAACTACAGAGATAAGTGTACATTTTAATTTCTGAATATCAAATCTCCATTAACTTTTGACATGTTCATCAGTTTCAACTCTATAAGGAGGCCGTAAGGGGACATAGGGAAAAATGTTTGTTTCTGGCAACCTAGTATGCTGAAATATGAAGGCAATGCAGTGCAGAAGTGCAAAAAGCTGCAGTTTGTCGAGTGTCCACTAGAGGCTGGCTCCAAAAGCCCCGGAAGTCACATACACTATATTAAAAATTCTGTTTTTACAGCAGAGATTAACATGTTTACAGCCTGGTACAAAAAATTAAATGGATCTGATCAAAACATTATTGTCAGCACAAGAAATGTTCTCACAGCTTCATTTTTGGTGTGAACTCATAACTTAATTTTTGTATTTTTTCAGTCCGTGTCCCTTTAGGGGCTCCGTAGTTGTAGGCTACTTGTACAGTATCTGAAAAAAACAAAGAAACACTTGTTTAGAAAAGATATCCTTACATTTTATCTGATTTTTTTAAATTCTGTTTTGGCAAGTAGAAGAAGAACGAAGCCCGTGTAAATAGGACTAAAAACAACTCATTATTTCCTGCAGAACTCTGCAGCTTTAGTTTTTCCTTCTCACTGAATTTATGTAAAAACTGAATGTGGACGCCGCCTCACAGTGAATGTGCAGCTGAGTAATTGCGATGTGTCTCATCCTGTGCTGCAGTCATTAAGACTGAAGCTGGATCTGCTTTCTCTACGATGTCACCACACGGGAAATGAGGATCATATTAGTGAAGCCTGTTTATTCATTTTACAAACACAGAGCCATGTTCAGATAGCGGTGTAAGACAAGGTCTATGAGAGAGGGCCGGATTTTATTTGTGTGTGTGTCCGATTCAGATTTCAGAGGTAACATATCAAAGGCGGATAAATACACCCACAAAGACTTACATCCCCGGGTTGGACTCTGACCTTCGGCCGCATGTCGTCACAGCCATCATGCTTCTGTACGTTTATATTGATTCCTCAACGTCATGTTTGTGTCCCAGTCTGTGAAGTCAAAACGCGTTATGGCGTTGCAGATCGCCGAGAGAACACGGCTTGTAAACACACACACACACACAGTCCGACATGCACACACACACACACAGTGGTGCTCTCCCTCGCTGACCCTGCCGATCCCATCTCACCCCTGTAATGCCTCTCTTACTACCTCCCAGACAGCACTGGGGGGGGGCAAAGTCAGAAGAAAAATTCAAATGTAAAAATAAGAGTAGAGTGCAGTGCTTCATAGGTAAAGACTGTCAAAACTTTGTGTATTGTGTTTCTTTTTAGAACGAGGCAATGGTGCCATCTAATTGATTTCTGATCCATGATTTTCAGTTTATTTTGCTCTTCTAAAACTTTGGCACTGTATGCATGTATCTGTCCACTTTCCAAGCCCAACACAGTCGCAGCAGATGGCTGTGAAATAAAGTTAATTTCAGTGTTGGTCCTGCATCGTCATCGACTGTTTGGATCAGGTTTAAAAGCCTTCTTCTTCTTCTGCGATTCCTATTTCTACCGACTATACGCTGGTGGGGATTTCTAAGCAATTTGTATCAGAAAGCAATGTGAACAACGCTACTACGGCCAGCGCCATGTTTCCTCTCCAGAACCGAATCAGAAGCGACGTAATATGTGATGTGTACAGAACATTTTGGTTCTTAGGACAGGTGTGTGGAGAAGGGGACGGGGCTGAAGAGTTGAATAGTCTCTTCTATCAAAGTGATTCTTTGTCAAACTTTGCACGACAAAATCATTTAAGGTAATTTCTTTTCTGTACTTTTCCATGACCAGCCCACACTCTGTTGAAATCCACACAAACAAACACCTACAGCAGTATCTACATTTAACAACACGGGAAAGAGAGAGGGGAACATTTGCATGCTGACCCACATCAGCCCTCTGTAGCAGTCAGGAGGTTATTTTCATTCTCTCCCTTAAACAGCCGAGTCGATGCACTCCTGCCCACACGTTACAAAGCAGAGGCAGATGTTACGTAAGCATTTCAAAGTGATCATCCTCCCTCTGACAGAAACATGATGTTTCGGAGGCGAAAGACCACTCAAACAACCTTCCAGTGGATCCTAATCTTTAGTGAGCTAAAAACGGCGCCGCGCCGGCCGATACCGTCAGGAGTAATCTGTTTAGAAGCCATCTGGCACATTTTACCGCGGCCTGCTGTTCTCGACAAATAATCAAATCACACAGCAAGACTTCCACCTCAACAATGTAATATCTTATGATTGCCGTCATACAATCAGCACACAACATAACTCGTCCAGCCAGTGTGCTAAAAATGGATCTGCATGTTTATCCTACGGCCGCTCTGATGTGGATTATAATCTCACATGCAGTATGTAATCACATCGCTGTGCTGCTCCCGGTGACCCGGTCGGTGTATCTGTGAGTGCATCAGACTGTAATTGCTGGTGAGGAATGCTAAGAATGCAACAGATGAGAAGAAGCCATAAAAATAAAAATAAAAAGCTTCAGTCTCATTATGAGTGTCAGAGGTTTAAGGAAGCTAGCTGCTAAACAACAATAACAAGGAAGAGTGATAGCTGCAAGAAGCTAAACATTTAGCATGAGCCAATCAGCTCTCAGACAGGAAGTTTTCTTGTGTTTCTCTCAGTGAAAATAAACATTTTTGACCCATTTAGTGAATGTTTCTCATTATTGTCATGTTCAGGAATTTAAAGCTACTTGAAACTGTGTGAACCTGAACTCAGTCAAATATTTTAAAGTTGATATCTAACAGACTTGCATGCACAACATTAGCTTTCATATGCCTGTAAGATTCATTGTGCACACAGTTTTCAAGCTTCACTTTGAGTGGGTTGCAATGCTAACTACTGCTGATCAGGCCCTAGCTGCCAAATTATGGCAGCATGGTATGAAAGGTGCTATATGGTGCTGAAGAGATTTTCAAATTTGACAGCAGCAGGATGATTGGTTGAGGCAGAATCTGATTGGTTATTTA